ACAAATACTGCACATTCTCATTTGTGGAAACCAAAATGTTGATGTTATGGAAACTGACAGCAGGACAGTGGTCACTAGAGGCCAGGAAGGAGGGAGCCAGGGGAGGGGTAGAGAGAAGCTGGCTAACCATGCTAAGATACAGGAAGACAGGAAGAATAGGCTATCCTGGCCTACAGCACATAGGGTGACTACAGTGGACAGCAGTCTATTATCTACTTCAACCTAACGAGAAGGAAGGACTTAAAGATCTACCATAAAGGTAGAGAAGATGGGAGTGGCAATTATCCTGATTTGATCATTATATGTGTACTGAATTACCATCCTCTGCCACAATTAAATATAAAAATTTCTCTTAAAGTGGCAGAATATCAAGGCTGATGTCAGAAGCCGGGTCACAGCCAGCAGAACCATGCACAGGAGGTCAGAGGCAGAGCCGGGTGGGCTGGGGAAAACTGTAAGAAGAGGTGATTGTCCTCGAAGGTGACATGTGCAAGTCCCAGAGCCATCTGACACTCTAGTGAAGATGTGGCACCAGTGGCCAGGAAGCTGAATGGCCACGGAGAAGACCCAGCAAGAGAACAGTGTGGGGGGGCAGACTCCACTCAGTAGAGCCCATTCATTGCAGCCAGTCAACAAGCAGTGCTCACTGCAGCCAATCAGCAAGCAGTGTGAGGCATGGTACTCCCTGGCTCCCTCAGCTGGCCACAGAGAGGCACTGGGACAGGGCGGTGCTGGGAGAGGACAACTGAGGAGCTCCCCGCTCCTTCAGGGAAGGGAACAGTCACACAGTCCTGCCTGTGAGGCAGCCGCACCGCCCCCAAGCAGCAGAGCCTCACCCGGCCCTCTCCTGCAGGTGGTGCTCCAGCACTGGAGGTCTAATGTACTGGACGAGAAGGATGACAGCTAGAAATATTGTAGCGCATGCTTTTAATTTGCTAGGAAGGCGGATCTTAAATTAAATTCCCCTATGCCCAATGGTACCTGCATAGTTATGGGTACGATGATTAGGTTGATGGTGGTTGAGCATTCCCCAACAGGTACACACATCAAAACATACAATTTTTTAAAAACCACACTAAGATTCCACCTCACCCCTGCTAGAATAGCCATCATCAGCAACACCACCAACAACAGGTGTTGGCAAGGATGCGGGGAAAAAGGAACCCTCTTCACTGTTGGTGGGAATGTAAACTAGTACAACCACTCTGGAAAAAAATTTGGAGGCTACTTAAAAAGCTGGACATCGCTCTACCATTTGATCCAACAATACCACTCTTGGGGATATACCCAAAAGACTGTGACACAGGTTACTCCAGAGGCACCTGTACACCCATGTTTATTGCACACTATTCACAATAGCCAAGTTATGGAAACAGCCAAGATGCCCCACCACTGACGAATGGATCAAGAAAATGTGGTATCTATACACAATGGAATTTTATGCAGCCATGAAGAAAAATGGAATCTTGTCATTCACAGGTAAATGGATGGAACTGGAGAACATCATTCTGAGTGAGGTTAGCCTGGCCCAAAAGACCAAAAATCGTATGTTCTCCCTCATATGCGGACATTAGATCAAGGGCAAACACAACAAGGGGATTGGACTTTGAGCACATGATAAAAGCTTTAGCACACAAGGGAGGGGTGAGGATAGGTAAGACACCTAAAAAACTAGCTAGCATTTGTTGCCCTTAACGCAGAGAAACTAAAGCAGATACCTTAAAAGCAACTGAGGCCAATAGGAAAAGGGGACCAGGAACTACAGAAAAGGCTAGATCAAGAAGAATTAACCTAGAACGCACAGGAAATCAATGTGAGTCAACTCCCTGTATAGCTATCCTCATCTCAACCAGCAAAAACCCTTGTTCCTTCCTATTATTGCTTATACTCTCTCTACAACAAAATTAGAGATAAGGGCAAAATAGTTTCTGCTGGGTATTGAGGGGGTGGGGGGGAGAGAGAGGGGGTGGAGTGGGGGGTTAGGGAGGGTGTGGGGGGCAGGGGGAGAAACGACCCAAGCATTGTATGCACATATGAATAAAAAAAATACAATTTTTTTATGCCAAAATGGTTCAATAAAGCTGTTAACACAATCTACAAGTGAAAAACTGAAAAGGAGAGGTGAGCATGGTGGCTCATGCCTGTAATCCCAGCACCCTGGAGGCTGAGGCAGGAGGATCAGGAGTTCAAGGGCAGCCGGGGCAATATAAGGCCCTGTCTCCTGCACACACACACACACACAGGAAGTGCCTCTGCCAGTGTAAGAAGAGTGACACCTTCTCCCCGGCAAGACTTATTAATGAGCTCTGCAGACATAGCCTCTGGTGTTATTCCCAGAGAGCAACCCGTGGTAGCACTGGAATCTGGGACGGTCCCCCTGGTCCCCAGAAATCCCTCCCCTTGCGCTTCTGATCAGTGCTGTTTCCTGCTGTTCTCTCTGTGTAATATCCTACCATTCACTGGTCATATAGAGCTATCCAAACTGCTCTGGTCTTCAAGATAAAATAAAAAGGAACAAAGGCTCAGCTCTCTCTTCTGACAGAAAAGCACAAGCTAGTTTTGACTTGTAGATTGTCACCGCCCATTTGACCACCAGGGCATTCTAATTGGCTTGTGTCCCTCAAACCACTGCTTCTACTCACATCCAAGACATCACTTAATCACAGATCTAACAATTACTGCTAGGCCCACGTCCCAGGCAAGGCCGTACAAAGGTGAGAAAAAGAGAGCTCTGTGTCACACAGCTTGCCGTCTAGAGAGGGGAAGAGAGGGAAACCAATATGGGTAAAAAATAAGTAAAGTTCCAAGGCAAGCTAGAGGTTGCCGTGTGCAGAGGGAAAAAGAGGCAGGAAGACACAAGAAGGAGCTGGGCGTGGTGGTCTCAGCTGTAATCTCAGCAACTTGGGAGAGGGAGATGGGAGAATCACAGTCTGAGGCTGGCTTGGGCAAAGTTAGCACAAGACTCCATCTCAAAGACAAGCTAAAAGCAAAGTACTGGGTGAGTGGCTCACGTGGTACAGTGCTTGCTTAGCAAGCAGGAGGCCAAGGGTTCAATCCCCAGTACTGCAAGTGATAATAATGATAACGACAGACACAAGAAAGAACAGGAAAATGGGAACGGGGTTGAAATGTTGGGTCAAGGTCTTTTTTCTTCAATTAAATTCAAAATGGGTGAATGGGGACTGGGGGAGTGGCTCAAGTGGTAGAGCACCTGCCTAGCAAGCATGAGGCCCTGAGTTCAAATCCCGGTACTGACAAAAAAAGTCCAAAAGGATGACCGGCACATATATTAGCTATGGTCCTGGGCTTTTGAACTGCTGGGCTTTGCAGAGAAATTCTGTGCAAATTCCACTGAGGAAGGCACTCAGCACAGGGAGAATGCAGTGCCTTCCAAAGGGAATGATTTCAGGATCCAGGGCCGTCCCCACCCACCCCTTTGCTCCTGCGGGAGGGCGCAGAGCCTGTCACTCTGCAAAGAGAGCTCAGGGCAGATCAGGCGGAGTGAGTATCTAAAAGGCATGGAGCACTTGAAGAAAACCCTAAATCAGGTGCAGAGAGCAGGCTTCGGCCGCGGATAGAGGTTCTGCAGGGGTGCGTGCCTGGGTAGAATAAAAACCAGAAAGGTAGTCAATTTTAAACATGACACTCATGTCCTGAGTTGATTCCAACAAGACTGTTTCCCAGAGCCCAGGTGTGCAAAGGCTGGGGACCGAGGACAGTGACAGGACGCCAGCTGGGCTTGCCCTCCTCCAGCCTCTTCACAGCACAGTGGGAGAAGCAGGAGGTGAGAGAAGCGAGGCACTGGTGAGTGCTTCTTGGTGCGACAGCAGGTGTTATTAGGGTAAGCAAACCTCATTCAGAGCCATCACGACAGGCTTCCAGACAATGGTAATGGGGCTTTGTGGTGGGAGGGAATGCAGCATGGGCAAGTAGAGATTTACTGTCAAAGAGAAGGGAGGGTCAGCGGTGGATGACTGACAGGAAGCCTCAGGAGTGAGGGGGATTCTGGCTGAAGACAGGGCCAAGGCCACCAGATGCCACCTGAAGGATGGTCAGGGGTGAGGACCCTGATCAGAGGTGGACAGAGATCCAACACTGAAGGTGTGGAGTTCTGAGTAAAGTGACTTAGCAGGTATTCTGCAAGGAAATGCAAAGACCGGCCTAAGAGAATGTTCTGGAGTCTCACAAAAGTTTGGTCAAGCAGAGAATCTTTGCCTCCAAGAGCTAAAAGAGTACCCAGAGCCTTTTACTAGGAGTTATTTATATTAACTCTAAAAGGGAGAGGTTGAGCCAGGCATGGTGGTGCACACCTGTAATCCCAGCACTTGGGAGGCTGAGGCAGGAGGATGGAGAGTTCAAGGCCAACCTGAGGTACACAGTGAGACCCTATACCCCAAAATAAATAAATAAATAAAATGGAATGACTGGAACGCATCAATGTTTCCAACTCTTTTTTTTTTTTTTTACAGTAGAATTCTTTTTTTCAAACAAAATTATGAGCAGAGCCCAGCATATACAATAACCAAACAGTGGAGCCGATCTGAGCTGGGGGCCCAGCTACAGGCCTGTCCGGTTCCCTCCTTTTCTCCCTCCTGCATCAGCTCCCCTAGGAGTATTTCTGAGAAAAGCAGGGAGGGAGTCCGCTAGGACATGGCGTCTCTTCCTCTGACTCTACCATGTGCTCGAACCACCAAAGCACCTAGCATGAGACAGTAACCCAAGGAGATCACTTAATGTTAAGGGAAAAAAAAATTAAGGATGACAAAACTAGATGTGCACAGGAACCAAGCTCCCTGGTGAACTTGGGTCACCGAAGGCATGGGACAAAACAGTCAACCTTTAAAAAACAAAACCCCAAGATCCCCCATCTGAGAAGCGGTGGCGGTGACGTTCACATGGTGGGGTTGTGGAGCCTGACACTCATCAGCTAAAAGAAAACTTTCAATGCTCCTCCAGGATGACTCAAATAAATCAAGAGGACAAGATGTCATGCCACCCACCTTGATTCCAAGTTCAATATTTTCTCCTCCATACACATCCATCCCAGGGTCCAGAAGGCCGATGTCACCGAAGAACTTCCTGTTGACCACGAATGAGCAGCCAATCATGGCGGGCGTCCTGCGGGAGAGAGGGGAGCCTTGACATCAGGGGGTCCTCGCCAGCCTTCCCAGAAGCCCTCAGCCCCCACACCCTTCATGTGGCTAACTTTTAGCTGCACAAGAACTAGGGGACCTTGGTGGCTAGGGACATTGTGTCTCCTGCGTAGGTAGGGTGAGGACTGGGTCTGCACACTGGGCAGTGGCTGTCACTGCACTCTGGGGACAGCAGGCAGGGCAAGGTGCACATGCTCTCTGCCCCAGGAAGGAGAAGAGACCTGGGAAGCTGGGAGTGGGAGTGTCAGAGAGGGAAAGGCAAAAGATCCAGCCTCCATTCCTTCCATCCCTTCCTTCCTCCCTCCTTCCTTCCTTCTTTCCTCCATTCCTTCCCTCCCTCCCTCCCTCCCTCTTCCTTTCTTTCTGAATAGGACCCCGCTAGCTCAGGAAATAAGAGCCAGAACTGGCTGATGAGACTGCATCAAGCTGAACTCTGTACACAGTAGAGGAAACAATGACCAGAGTGAAGAGACGGAGTGTCTGTGCACCGTCCTACAATCACCTCCACATGGGGACTAGGGGCTGCTCTAAGTCACAGGGCAGAGCTCAGGACCTGCCCCATGTCACTTCTCGATCTCATCCTTATGTGCTTCATGAGAAGCTTTGTAAAAGAGAAGGCAAACCACCCACAGGGCCAGAAATATCTTAGAGACGCCTGTAACCCCAGCTACTCAGGATGCAGAGATCACAGTTCAAGGCCAGCCAGGGTAAAAGTTGGCAGGACCCCCATCTGAAATAGCAGATGGTACGCGTCTGTCACTCCCACCCTGCAGGAAGCATGGGTAGGAGGACTGGACATTAATGTGAGACCCTTTTGAAAAATACCTAAAGTAAAACAGGGCTGAGGAGTGGCTCAAAGTGGTAGAGCCTTTGCCTAGCAAGCATGAGGCCCTGAGTTCAAACCCCAGTGCTACCAGAGGAGGGAGAAGGGGGGAGGAGGAGGAGGAGGAGGAGGACAAGGACGAGGAGAGAAAAAGAGAGTGAGAGAGAGAGAGAGAGAGAGAGAGAGAGAGAGAGAGAGAGAAACCCCACCCACCTCTCCAGGAAACTCAGGTGGAGTTCTCTTGCACTGAAATTACAGAACAGACCACAGCCCCAGACCTTCATCTGATCATTCCGATTTCTACTGTGACTTTGACCTTGGTGTGTCGAGGCAGCCAAGAGGCTCCTGGAAACACATGATATTCAAAGCTGAAACCTGGTGCTGCCACTGAAAGCTAATTTTTTTTTTGGCACTACTTGGATTTGAAGTCAGAGCGTCACACTTGCTAGGCAGGTGCTCTACCACTTGAGCCACACCACCAGCCCTGCTTTGTGAAGGGTTTTTTCAAGATAGGATCTCAGGAAATATTTGCCCAGACTGGCTTTGAACTGTGATCCTCCTGATCTCTGCCTCCTGAGAAGCTGGGATTACAGGCGTGAGCCACCGGCACCTGGCTGGAAGGTCATTTGAACAACTTATTTTTATTAGCACAAATTAGTTGTATAAAGTGAGAGGTTTTGTTGTGATATTTCTGTACACATCCCCTCCCCCAACCCCTACTCTTTATTTTTTAACTTTCTCACAGTTTTTTTCTTTTAATGGGTGAAAACTGTAATTGTGTGCAATTAATGATAAGCCCTAGAGCCTGGCTAAGTCCCTACAGAGCACCCTGTGTGGGTTATTACATAAGAGAAGATGACAGGGCCCAGGGGACGGATCAGGAGCCCGGTGACTCTGTGCCTTGGTCCTCTTTCTGTGAGTCCTCCCAGTCTCCTGCCATCATGCCCGTGTGTACAGAACGCCGCCCTGCTGCTTGACTATACCAGAGATTCCAGTGGCTTCCCTGTGGGTCACTTCCTCACAGTCCCTGTCCCCTCGTAGAGAAGCGAGCACCATCTGAGCCCACCCTCCGGTCTCAAGTAACCAGGCCAGACATGGACACAAATCTCAGACTAGGTCAGGTTGCTCCTGGCACTTGGAATGAACGCTGTGAGGGAGCTGGGACCACCATCTTGGAGCCTGAGCAGAGGGCACAGTGGAGATGATGTGAGACCACACAGGGAGTGGCGCCTGGTGACCTTGGCTCCCGATCTGTGAACCAGCAGCCTGGCTCTACTCTGTCCCCAGGTCAGAGGACAGTTGTCCCCTGTGTCTGTGAGGTCAGTCCTATGACTTAAAAATGTCAGATAAGTTTCTGTCCCTTGGAACCAAATAGTGACAATGAAACAGGCTAGCCACCACTGCTTAGGATTCTGCTCCCCCCAGCTGTATCACACAACCACAGGAGGAAGGTGGCAGGGAGAATTCATTCTGGTAGAGCTACAGCTAGGGCAGGATCCACCCGAAACACAGAGCACGTTAGTGACACTTCTGCTTGGAGCGGTGTGGAATACCAGGGGCAGTCTGGGGCCTGAAGAGAGAGAAGGAGGGACCCTGTTTTCTAGACAGCAATTGTGAGCACATCAAGACATCCTGATAATTGGGCCAGGCATGGTGGTTCATGCCTGTAATCCCAGCTACTCAGGAGATGGAGATGGGGAAGATTATAGGACAGACGTCAAAGGCCAGTCTGGACAAAAACTTGAGACACTGTCTGAAAATAACTAAAGCAAAATGTGCTGGGGTGTCTCTAAGGGTGGAGTACCTGCCTTGCAAGTTCAACGCCCTGAGTTTAAACCCCAGTACGGCCAAAAAAACCCCCTCCAAAACTGGTAATTTAGAACAACCTCCCCAAAAGCCTTTGCTTAGAACCCAGAGTGAGCACGCATGAACACCCTGCTCCAAAGGTAAACAGGGGAGGGTCAGTCAACAAATGTTCTCCAAAGGATGGCCGTAAGTTCAGCCCCTTCCAGGATAAAACTGTTTCCCAGACACTGGTCTAGGTCCACCTGTGTCAGCATCACCCCCATAACTCCTTAGAAAACCCAAGTTCCCAGCTCTAGCGCAGATGGAGGCATGTCATTTACACGGCCTCAAGGACTGGGTTGACAGTGGCAGGACCACCCTGTGGTCCCCCTGCCTGTCAGGGTCTGCCCTAGAGCACAGAAGTCACTTCTGTGACCTCTCCTTGTACTTCCTTCCTGGCGCGGCCCAGGGCAGCCCTGACTGAGTGCTGCTGAATCAGTGAAGGGGTTGACAGGTCAGGGTGGCCATCCCTGTGGGATGACAGCGGGGTTCTAGCTAGGGATGGGGAGGAGGGAGGAGGGAGGAGGGAAGGGGAGGAAGAGGGAGGGGAGGGGAGGGGAGGGGAGGGGAGGCCTCTCCTTCCTTCCAGTTCTCTCTCAAGCACTCTTCAGGGGACACCCTTTGCCTTGGCAGCCTGATGTGGTAATGTGATCTGGTGTGATCTGGCGATGTTTTCGGCTCTGGGTGGTAAGGGAGATCTCACAGGTGACTTGCCCTGGGCCACCCCCTTGCTGACAGCCACCGTGTTGAGCTCCTTGGTCTGGGTTCTGTATGCGAAATCCTACAGTTTTGCACATTGGAATTCCCTCCTCATAGAAATGAGGCTGGGGCAGGACAGCCATCCAGGCCATTGCCAGGGTCCATCCAGGAGTGACCACAGCAGGTCAGGCCTCTGTATCCTGGGCAGGCCACAAAACAAAAAGACAAGGGCAAGGAGACTGGTGACTTGTGAAAAGGTCCCCTAAGGCCTATGACTGCAACCTTCCATCGTGCCAGAGAGCCTGACGGTGACTGTGGGAAAGACAGGCTGGAAGGAGCACCAACGTAAGCCCCAGGACACATAGGTAGGTGATCCCATAGCCTCCTACCTATGCATCTTGTATAGCTAGAATTACAGATGTACACCACCATGCTCGACTTATTTGTTGAGATGGGGTATTGCTAACTTTTTGCTTAGGCTTGCCTAGAACTATGATCCTCCCCGTCTCCCCCATCCCCCTGCCTCGAATCAGATATAGAAATTCAGAGTCCTGCAAACACCAGGCTCCCCACAGTGCTGGGAGCAAAGGAGGCAGCTCGTGACCGACTGGGGACCTGTCATCCCAGCACTGGGGAGGCTGAGGCAGGAGGACCGTGAGTTCCAGGCAGCCTGGGTTACTCTCAGAGCAATCCTGCCTCAAAAGCCAAACTAAACCAAACTGACAAAATCCACATCCTCAGCCTGGGAGAAGCAGATCCCCAGCTGGAGGCCACCACCCTGCCCCGCCCTGCTGTGGGACCTGCCATCCCTGGGGGCGGGCCAGCCAGCCTCATTCTTGCATCAGTGATTCCCATTTCCTTTCCAGGCATCATTGCCACCTGCCCAGCCATGCAAGCCACAGCCTGTGGCACTTCGGGGCTGATGGCATCCTAGAACATGTGTCACAGACTCGTTCTTCAAACTCCATTGTGAGTGCCACGGTTAACACAAACATTTCAATTCCAAACCATTCGGAAATGATAATCATATTAAATGATCTGCCAAAGTCCTAATTGCTCCATTACAGAGGAGGCGAAGACAGATTAAAAGTAATCACTTTAATTGTTGCTGTCACACAAAATATATGCCACACGCACAACAGTTCCAGCTGAGGGAGTCGAGGGAAGGCTTGGGAGTTGGTGGGGAGGGGGTGGCAGCCCAGGAATTCTGCAGAGATGAGGTGCAATGCTTTCTCAATTTCCTCTTTTTTCTTTCTAATTTTGCTTTTTTGGGGGTCAGTGTTAGAGTCTGAACTCAGGGCCTTTGCACTTGCTAGGCAGGCGCTCTGCCTCTTGAGCCACTCCCTCAGTCCTTTTCGCTTTAGCTGTTGTTCTGGTAGGGGATCCCATTTTTTTGGCCCAGATTATCTGAGACCCTGATACTCCTACCTACACCTCCTGCATAGCTGGGATCACAAGTGTGCACCACCATGCTCTGCTTATTTGTTGAGATGGGGTCTCCATTTCTTTCCCTCCCCAGGGCTAGCTTCAAACTGTGATCCTTCCTGATCTCTGCCTCTGGAGTAGCTGGGATTACAGGTGTGAGCTACTGTGCTTGG